CAATTGTATACATTTGCTGCAGTGATGAAGTTGCTGCGCATAAAAGAAGAAATTGCTTTAAAAATATATGATTTAATGCGCATTCATAAAATTTTCTGCGTAATCTGGACCACGATTACGGGGAAGCCATGTTGTTCCCCTTTCGAAGTTAAAGATGTTCCACTCTTCTTGCGAGGAAAACTGCTCGCTTGAGATCAAATGTTATCACAAGTGCAGAAATGGTCTGAAACAAAACGTCACGAAGAGTGCAACTAGTGTTGATAGAGGTTCAGAGAAAGATGAAAATGTGGTAATGCAAGCGATACTTGTGATGGTAATAGAGCCTCAGGGTTTTTAACCCATGCAGTTTCGCTTGCAAAGAATGGCCCTTAGCGCAACCGAGAATGTAAAAATTCACTCACTGACTTGCTTCTTTCGTAGTTAACTAGATATAACAAAGAAATAGAATTGAAAGCGGTGTATGACATATCCCTGGATTTAAAAACATGTTTCATATGTTCGTGCGACTCTCATGGTATTAATTATCAGAAGCCCGACTAATAAGTCACGGACTTCTGTTTTATTACAGACCATCGCGCGCTCACTTTGGGTTTCTCACTTAGTTGACTGAAACAAAACATACAGCGGTGGACAGACTAAGGAATGACACAATCAAGATCTATTTTAAAGAAAAGCCCGTCGTTGTCGTCTATCATATCATGATATGGAGTGAAGTTGCGAGAAGCAACCGAAGTCTCGAAAGTTTGATTTGTCTGTTACAATGCAGTTACAAGAGGAAAGTGAATTCATTATTTTAGCAACGCAAGATATGCCAGCTATTAATAATATTACGTTACCTGGAAAGACGTTTTGGGTGAACTGCACAAGTTTTTCAATACTCTTCACCGTCTTCTTTCTTTGTATTGAAAGGAGTTTAACACCATACTACACTGTAAAAGTTTCTTTTTGAAAAACCTTCAGTACACTTGAAGCTGTATCCGGCTTGAATGGTTGACTTTTCATGCTGATAATTGATTGTGAAAAGCAAGCCTGGTTAATGGATTTAATAGTACCGTCGACTAACGTTATTGCGGACACCCTCGGGGGGGTGGGTGGGGGGGAGATTTAGTGTCCTTGAGCGAGGGTCCGAAATGGCGGGGTACGCGAGAGAAAAATATTGGTTTGTCTCCAAACATATGAAATAACCCAACATTAAGTTTCTAACGTGGCTTCACGGACCAAATAAAGATCCGGCTGAAAGCAGGAAATTCTCAAGTTCGCACCCAATTGAAAAATGGGTTCTTTATTTTCCTTTATCATGGTGTCGCTTCATATCATGTGAGTCTGGAGTTTGGACGAAGCGAGATTTTCGTAATAGCGGGAGTCCGTAATGACGGGAGTTATTTCAGCTATTTCTTTGTGCGTTTCGCCGGGGGTCTGGCTTTTGTTCCCTAATGGGGTGGTGTCCGTAATAGCGAGGTGTCCGCAGAGCGAGAGTCGACTGTAGACCAAAGAGTTTGAATAATTTATGTTTCGACATCCTCAATCTATTGATGAACATCTTCTTCGAATTAAATCAACAAGAATAAATGAATAAAAAAAATAAAAAGGAAAAACGCAGGAACATATATGCCAAGGCACCTGTTCGAAAAAGAAATAAATTTTATCTTACTTTTCCCACGGTATATTGGCTGCTGTTGGCCAATAAAAGTTTGATAGCCGTGATGTGACATATTTGGTCGTGTAAAATAAGTAAACGGACATGAACATCAGCGACTGATAATCTGAAAGAAATTTTTCTGCACTGAAAATGAAGCGAGAACAGCAGCTAACAGATGTTATCATTGTTTTGCAGTGTGAAGTGTGTTGTAAGACTGCCTCTCAGTTATTTACTCTTTAGATTAAGAGTTTCATAGCCAGATTACTTCAAGCCTTTCGGAAAACTTTGTTTGTTTGTTTGTTTGTTTTAATCTGAGAGGCTGATTGAGGGTCGATATCTAAAACGAAAGTCGATTTGCTACATTTATCAATAATACCTTAGCCTTTTCACAATGAAAATTGTGACAGTTAAATTTGAAAGAAAATTGCAGAAGCTTTTGAAAGAGAAAGGCAAAGCAATTTCAGTGCAAACCGAGACATATGAGCTTGTGAAATCTGCCTTCAAAAATATACCCATAATGTGGCTGTTTGCTTCTATTTTCCTGACTACAAATATCAATAATTTTGGACTGTGCCGGTTGTCGGTTAGTATTTACTTGTCGCCAATCGGTAATTTTTTCTTCAGCATTTTGTTGGTAGTCAGCTATATTTTTCGCCTTTGTCGCAAGTCGATTAACCTCATTCAGATATTTCTCCACGCCTAGGCTAGAATGCTCTTCTCTCTGAAAAAAACAAGTGATATTGTTTAGACTATGTCGATTGTCGGTAATTTACTTGTCGGCATTTGGTTATTGTTTTTTCGTTTTGTTGGTCGTCAAATCTATTTCTCGCCCTCTGTCACTAGACGGTTAACCTCATTCAGACCCTCTTATAGCTTATACGTTCAACTCCGTACTAAGGCAGTTTCAAAATGGCGTCGGCCGCGTCACCACACCCTTTTACGAAATTGCAGGATGCAAAAAACAAATCACAAAAGGAAAGCATCGGAAATTAAAAGTAGGAGATGGACAATGAAATTTGGCTCCTTCAAATGAGAAAGATTGGAAAGAGATCTACTTCTTCCCAAGGGTAAGTTAGAAATATAGGTGCTTCGTTATTAATACAAATGTTATTATACAAATTGACAAAGTACTTTATAAAATAATTCAAATGGTACGCGCGTTCTGATTGGCCATAAAACCATTTTACATGAGCGTATGTAAACACGGTTTTCGTTCCTCTCTCATTAGTTATTTTATAAAAGAAATGTAAAATGGTTTCCGTGTTTACATAGCCTGATGTAAACACTTGGGAGGCTGGGAGAACACTCGATAAGCTGCTACGCTTATCTCGTGTTCTCCCAACCTCCCAAAACAATCCTTCGACTGAGTGCGATTGTGTTCGGCGATCTGATCGAACTAAATCAAACACAGAGGTTTTAGTTATTCGGGTACTATACTTGGCTATGACCCTCTACATTACTTAGGAATGATCTCCAGTATAACAGTTAGAAAAAAAACTTACTTTCAATTTATTTTAGACGAATTTCTTTTTAATTAAAAGCTACATTTCCTGCCCAATTTTTCCCTTTGGTCACTTTTTAAAACAAATTTTGCTAGCCTACGTATGACAGCATTTAGTTGTTGTAAGCAGTAGCTCAGCTCTGGTATCCATGCATTTGTATTATTTTCGTGATTTTTTGCACAATAAGGTTCTTTGAGGCTTTAAATTGGGTCAGGTTATGAAGTTATAAACGTCTTTTTTTGGTAAAATGTCTAATGATATATGTATGAAAGCCGAGAAGGGACTTCGGACTTTCAGACTTCAGAATTCAGAATTCAGAAGTCCGTCAGACTTCAGACTTCAGACTACAGAATTCAGAATTCAGACTTCTTCAGAATTTAGACTTGAGACTTGAGACTTGAGAATTGAGACTTCTTCAGACTTCAGACTTCTTCAGAATTTAGACTTGAGACTTGAGAATTGAGACTTCTTGAGACTTCAGACTTCGGACTCCAGACCCTGGGTATCAATCTTCCAATTTTTATTCTTTGTTGTTGTGTACCAACATGGATGATGTAAGTAGATTACCATATCGAGGTGCATTGCGGGGAAAAAAAGACAACGTCGGAGCTAGTTTTGGTTTACAATTTAAGTGATTTTGGACCTCCGCGTGTCTCGTCCGACACAAGCGCCAAGGCGAACGTCACCCCACTGCCTGTTGTGGAAAAGGAAGAAATTAACTTTCAGCGAAAGATGAGCTTGGCCGAGGTTCCTTTGGTGTCGTGTACAGGGGCGTGTGGGTCGGAACCGAAGTTGCAGTGAAGCATGTTAAAAATACGAAACACCAAGTGTCTTCAGACAAACATGGAAACGGAAGTACGAATTCACAGCATGGTTCACCAACCGAATATTGTGCAAATTATGGCCGTTTCATATCTGAAAAACTCTATTTACCTGGTCACGGAACTTATCAAGGGGCGAAGTTTAGAGGAATTGCTATTCAATGATGACGAAAGCTCTAACACTTTCACGATTCAAAGCTGCAGTTAGCTTGATGTTGGGAAGCAAGTTTCGTCAGCTGTTGCCTACTTGCATAAATTGAAACTTCCTCTATTTCACAGAGACATAAAAACCTACCAATGTGCTGGTAGCCGGGAAAATCCTCATCACAAAGCTGTGCGATACGGGTTTGAGCAAATTGAAGACAGCGCAATCCCTTACACGCACGACTAGCTCAGCAATCCAAGGAACTCCCAGAAGAATTCAAGAATTTGTTGGAGAAGGCTTTAGAGCCTTTACGCAAATCGATTGATGAAGTAGAAACAGCGTTTTTCCTCTTCTCCCTTGAATTTTGCTTCAGTTTTCTTGCTAACCTGTAATTTGATTTTATTTAATGCTCATGTCAACCAGCCGCCTGGCTCCGCTGGCCCCCATTGTTATTCCAAGTAGCCAGTACTCTAATTTTTACTTTTAATATTTTCGTTGTTGTAATTTATTTTTGAGCGAGAGTGAGTACAATAAAGATTGATCGACAAGTTAACAGCCAAAACTTTATATTTTATTTTTCAAGTGTTGCATGAAACTCAGTGGAAATTTTTTGTGCTCTTCAGAATTGAGTAGGAACGGTGTTGATATTGCTTGAGACGGAAATCTCTCTGCCAAAATAAAGATGATCACGGCGGAACTGAGCGTTGGTTCACAAAAAACGATAAAAAAAGAAGACACAACTGAGGAAATTTTCGGTTACTTCGGTATAAATATTCTCGATAAACATTTTCCACTATACGGCTACGCTTCTGACGAAACATGCAGATGTATTGCCAAAAGTTCATTTCTAACACGGAGAAGCTGACGCAGTTGGCTGTTACAAAGACCCGAGAATGGGAATAGAAAGGTATGTCATAGTGGATTGGAAGGTTCTTGACATCTTGAACTCCTGGGAGAAGAACAAAAACGCTTTTGGAAAATACCATCATCAGTGTTTAATCTACGCAAGACTTCTTCAGCTTCATATGGATCTTGACTACCTGCCACACATTCTGATCATACCCATCAGGTCAATAACTGGAAAAGACGTCTACCTTGCGTTGCTCTGGGATTACCCTGAGGATTGTAAACAAGCGATTGAAAGCTTCAAGTGGTCTCTCACACTGCCCAAGCCTACAATGAAAGTACGTGGAAGAAGGCCATTTCTGGCAGAAGGACGCGTTGACAGAAGCTTGCCCATGAGATGTTTTCTTGACATGGATGCGAGTGCAGGAGAGTTGCTGGGTGCATTTGGGATTAGCTTCACTCGAACTCGAAATCATCTGAATTTGGACTCAGAAAATACAATCACGGAACAATACCTTAAAGCTGACACTTGAAGAAGCAACTGAACCGTCGCAAAATAAATAACGTATACTTTTAAGTTACCATTGCTTTTTAGACGAACTTGAGAGTAACTCGTGTAGACTGGCTTTAACACAAATATAGGTTTCTACCTTTGTAAAAAATTAAATCAATAACACTACTATAGTTTTCCCGTCAATAATAGTTGAGCATCTAGTTTTTTTAGTGCTCCTTCTAATAAAGTTACATTATATAACCTGCTTCGATGAATCCTTTCTAGTAGCTCGTAATAATCATTTTAGTTGAGCACTATAGGTTACTAATTCCCACGAATGGAACTCAATTAGATTCACACCAGAATGACTTGCCACTGATTCCTGGCAGTAGTCTTAGTGAATAGTAGGTTAGTGAGAGAGACAGTGAAATGCTATTTCTGACAAATGAGCTCGTGAAGAAGGCCGTAATCAATATTTCGTTGGCTCGGGACGCATCAGAGCTTAGGAATCAGGCCATGGGCGTCAAAGGTAGCAATATTGGGGTCATGAGCCCCTTATTCCAAGTGGAGGTCACCCTGGCCTCAGAACAGACCGCGTTTCTGGTCCAAATTTAAGTTTTCGAGTCTTATCCTTCCCTTGTTTATTTATTCATTGAATCGTCCATTTCCTATTTAGTTCCTGTAAGAAGGAGTTTTTTTAGTTACAAGCTAGATTTCCTGCTCAAATTTTTCCTTTGGGTCACTTTTAAAAAAAAAAATTTTTCTAGCCTCCGTATAACAGTCTTTGCTTGTTGTAAGCGGTAGCTCAGCAGGGTTAGTCGTTAATATCCATGTGGTTGTATTATTTACGTAATTTATTGCAGCTTATGTAGTTATAAACGTCATTTTATTATAAAGTTTCCAATGATATATGGCATTAACGTTTTGTATTATCAATATTCAATGGTTTCTTGTAATAATTACTTACGTCGTTCGGATTGTCAGATTTGTAGATCAGCTGGGGATAAATCCCTAAGATATTAGTAATTCCCCAGCTTAACTTTTAGCGTAACTGGCAACGAAATTAGTGATGTCGACCTTGAGATGTCACAGCTTGTTATATGAAAGAGATTGTCGTCAAGAGTGATCTACTATGGTATCGACAGCCTTATAATTCCTGTGTGCTTATTTGAGGGTTCACTCTAAAAAGTGCTCTGTAATGTTATCACCAGCCTGACTGGCTCGCAGTTTATATGCAAATATCTGAGAATGCAGGTCTAGGCTGTCTAGTGAAAGAAAACTGAAACTTAATTACAATAATTGTAGATTATCGAAAGCTAAGGAATTCTGTACGGTATTGGTATGGAGCATATTATTGCTGATGCAAATTTAGTGTAAGAGAACAATTGTTGTTAGATTGCAGCATATTTCGCCAAGGTGGTTTCCGAACATTAAAGAACTTGTTTACTTTAAGGCGGCGTGTGTTGGTTGTTGCGTGATAGAGAAAAGTATTCATCGTATTCGCCTCGTAACTTAAATCACAACCTAATAAATCGTATTGACTTTGTTTCGTTGTGTGTGCGAGTGACTCTGAGTTTTGACGAAAACTGTCGGTGTTGTGCGCAAGGATTTGGTGTACAAGGCTCCGAAAAGTAAAACGAAATTGAGAGTATATCAACAAAATTTACTTTACCGAAAGAAACACTTTTGACATGCTAAAAGCCTTTTAGTGAGTTACTTTCAAATAGATTAATTATTAATGAATGATAAAAGAGCGACTATCATTGACTCTGCGCAGATTAAGGAATGAGTGCATGCTTGGTTTCTGGTGTTTGACACCGTGAAACATTAAAACACGAAAGAACAACGAACGACATTATTAACGCCATGGTTTGTAAAAGAGTTTAGATTAGATTTATTTCATACACCAAAGAATCAATCGTTATTTATATCACAATTCGTCATTATCTGATAGATTTGTACGTATGAAGGCACAGCCAACGAAAAGAGAAGCGAAGAGTCAGCTTTCGTCGGCTGCATTTTCTAGATGAGGATGAAGAATTTTCCTCTTCTGAATGACGTTTTTTATCATAAAAAAAGCTTCACAGTGCTCAATTCGGGCGTCAGCTATGGGTTGGCGATGGAAATTTCGTATAATTTAGTCCGCTTTTTGTGCAAATGAATTGTTTAGTGAAATGTTCGAAAATGTGCTTAATATGTTGGCCGGCTGAGCCAGAAGTTCGCCGAAAACTTCCGACGTCATATTTTTACAATTCCATACTCCTCTACCTTATGTCAGGTAGTCTGAATGAAAATGTCATGGGAAAGAAGTTGGATATTTGTGCTAAGCCGAGATTAAAAGTTGCTTGTTTACATAAAATTTGGTCATGGCGGCAAAGGCAAAGTAGTTGTCAAACTGAAAAATAATTTTCACCGTAAAATGTCGTTAAAAAAGGCCAAGCTCATGTATTTTGTTCTGCTAAAGGATTGATCCAGCTAAATATGCGAAGAAAAAAAATTCCTCAAACCAGAGTTTTTTGAAAAGACGACCATAGCAGTTTGTGCCATATTTAATGATCGGCACTGTTCAAATTGGGCCTTTGAGGGCTGAGGCGATTTTCGCTCGGAAAAAATTTATTTTGAAAAATTTTGAAAAACCAAGGTGGTCGATTGTTCGAACAGCAATGCACCGGACCACTTTTAGAGAGACTGCTTCTTTTAAAATTCGTATTCAATCATCTATTGCGATCGCCTCGTTAAAACCACTACGAACAACTAAGTAAGTCGCCATCGCGAAGTAGTAACTTCAGGGTTAGCTTCGAGCATTATTTTTCCTGGAGTCTTAATATAGTTTGGTTGTGTTTTAGGGTGGTTTTGAGGAAGAGAGGGGTATGTGCGTAGGGTTGCTATCGTTATGATGTCAGTTAAAAGCAAATCTTTTTCTCTTAATTTATTTGTTTTAATAAGCTTCGATGTTCCCCTTTTACAGCAAATACGATTAATTTTGAAGTTTTTTTGAATAAAAATTGTTGTGGAAGACATCTTTAACTTTCCTGCGTGCAGCCCACGCATATTGTCTAAAATGTCAGAGAACACTCGCATTTACCATAACTCGCGTGCGAGAGTCAATCAGGTCGCGATGGCGATGATATGTCTGTTATGGCCACTGCCGTGAGTCTCCTAAACAGTTGACACTCAACATGAGCACTGGGTTAGTTATTATTGACTGTGGTACCAGTTGTATAACCTTTAGCTCATGTAGAAACAGAGGTCCCAGTGGTAAGGATTTGAGACAGGCTATAGACTGTTCGTCTGTTTTTCAGAGGAGTAACTGAAAGTTGAAATTTTATGGGGTATGTTTGATCGGATATGCGAGATTCATAGAAGGGTGAACGTTGATTTACTCGTTTAAGATAAAGAAAAAAAAGGAAGAAAAGAAAAGGCAACTTTCTGCTACTGTCCAATTTCTACAAAAACTGTCTCAGTGTTGCACAAGGATCCTCCAAAACATAAAACGGAATCGGAAATATATTCCGTCACTAAGTTTCTATTGAAAAGATACATTGTTTATTAACAACTATCATTGACTTTGTGCTCAGATTAAGGAATGAGTACAAGCTTGATTTTCAGTGTTTGACACCTTGTGACATTAAAACACAAAAGAACTACGATATCATTCACGCAGTGGTTTATAAAATAAGATTAGATTAGATTCATTTCATACATTCTCAAAAACGAAGGGGGAGGGGAGTTGGAGGACTTGGGGGGATCACGTGGATTTCTGGGGGAACAGAAGGGATATCGGTGGTCGCTAACAGAGTATAAAGGGGCGACTATCGTTAATTGACTGCAAACGATGGGGGGATCAGTAGAATGCTACAGAGCCGTGAGGGGGGGGGAGGGAGGGATCAAGTAAATTTTATTGTGACTCAATCAAAGTCTTTGGTTGCCTTCCATAGACAGAAAAGTCGTCATTATACCTCTTCCAAATCGGCGGTTTAGTTGTGCTCTGGTTGATAATACCGTGTTCTATTTTTGCCATGAAAATGTTGGCAAGCGTTACGGCCACTCAGGTAAGCACGTTTTCTGAGAAACAGCGAGGAGTCCCCGTATGATAACAAGAACAACTGCGCGCAAAGCACACTGGTCGAACGTGATCCTTGGACGTCCTACCAAGTAAATGGAGCTTTTCGCATGTATTATGAAATTTTTCTATACAACTTTTTCCCTGGCTTGGCTTATCATTTATGACGCTTTTTGTTTCAGTTGTTGAACAAAACAAGTATTACTGAGAATAGATCAGCGATGGTTAAATTTCTATAATATCAATCTTAATGGTGTTGATAGGTTTTTATCGTGTTGTCTAACTCATGGAAAAAAGAAATTCAAAACGTACAGCTCTGAGACCGTGGACGCTGTTGAATACGAAGAGGGATAACAGTGTTACTACATTGACGTACAGTCTTTCGTATGCGAGTTAGAACAACGGGTGGTTCTGTGCCAATGCTTCATCTCGTGGGAACGAGATTTCGGCAAAAAAGACATCTGAGAATTCCCCTGAATTCATAGTTGAATCCTTGGTTTAAACCAAGAAGCAAACAAGGGTTTATGGCACTATTGGCGTGTGCTAGAAAAAATAAAACGGAATTCAGGCGTTCAACTTTGAGCAAAGCCTTATAAGTGTTAGTAAAATAGAAAATGAGTAAATGCTGGATGTGAGCTGGCAACCAACACAGCGCAAACGTCACCACCACGATGATGATCATGCGCAATACCTTGCGCCTGGACAGTTCATTTTGATGTCTCTGATGGGCCGTCGGCTCCCCTGGAATCTGGCGTGAACAAAGATGTCGACCAATAAGAACATGAACCCATGCGATGAAAACAAGAGGAACCAAATACAGTATCAAGAACAGGGTCATGAAATAGGCTCTGGTGATAGAAACCAGGACACTTCTGTTAGAGGAAAAGAAATTC